CCAGGTCAGAAGAGCAATCCTGGTCCAAACGGCCAGCAGCCTAGCCTGACACGGGCCCTAAGCAGGACCTGATTCCCATGTGCCTTGGACACACGACCCCGTGGACTCAGCCTTGGAGGGAGCAGGGGAGTGTCCCCACCTCAGTCCACACACAGATCCATGTTTCCCAGGGAAAGACCGATGCCAACACCGTGAAGATCTGAGCGCTGTTCACCACAACGCAGGGAGGACAGACACCTGAATAGAGAAAAGAGGGCGGGGACAGGGAGCGATCAGGAGGCTTAGAGGGTCGGAGAGGGTGTCTGGGGGGGAGAGTAGGGCAGGAAGGGGGCTGAAGGTCAGGCTCAGAGGTGAGTCACCTGCATTGGAGTCTTGACCCACCATCTCTGTCTGGGGGATTCTGGGAAAATCGTTCACCTCCCAGGATGCTCCCTCCTCATTGGCTGGAGGAGAGGCTGGGCCCCCAGCAGAGGATGGTGTGGGCTCCTGTGACGCTGAGTGAGGGGCCCAGGGACACACTCCCCACCTGTCAGCCTCCAGGAAGCTCTCAGAAGCAGTCATGGTGATGAACCAGCTGCACAGGCAGGTGACATTCACCCCGGGGACACCAGGGGGCGCTGTGGGTCCTGGTTTGGGGCCTTTAGAGGTCAGAGTCCCCTGGGCTGAGTCAAGTGCAAAGAGCAGGACTGAGCTCCTTTGAAGACCCTTCTGTTGGGCCAACCAGCTCTTAGCAATGAAACCCACACCTGCCCTCTGCCCCAGGGGAGGCCCCGCAGGAGGCCCTGGGCTCAGGGCGGGGCCAGCAGCTGAGACAGACCCTGGCTGGGCCCAGAGAGCAGATTTGCATCCCTGCTCCTCCCTCCTGAGCTGCAGGCAGAGAGGATAAGACAGGAGCTGGCAGGGCCAGTGCCAGCTGGGCAGCCGCAGGCAGCGCTCAGGACCCTCCCACCATGGCCTGGCTTCCCCTCTACCTCCTGCCCCTCGTCGTCTCCACAGGTCAGAGCGGCCACAGCCCCTGGGGTCCTGCCCCCGATTCTCCCTCCAAGCTCAGTCCCAGGGGCGCCTGCTCATCGGGGTGCAGTGGGCATCGCTCTTGTGTTTTCTGTCCGCAGGTCTCTGTGCTGCTCCTGTGCTCACCCAGCCCCCATCTGCCTCTGCCTCCCCGGGGGCCTCGGCCAAGCTCACCTGCACCCTGAGCCGGGAGCACAGCAGCTTCTATATTCACTGGTTTCAGCAGAGACCAGGACAGGCCCCTCGGTACATCATGCAACTTAAGAGCGATGGAAACCAAACCAAGGGGGACGGGATCCCCGATCGCTTCTCGGGCTCCAGCTCTGGGGCCGACCGCTACTTAACCATCTCCAACCTCCAGTCCGAGGACGAGGCTGAGTACATCTGTGGTGTGAACTATAACACTGATGGCAAATTCGCGGGGTTCCACAGCGACACAGACAAAGGGGAAGTGAGGCCTAAACCTCCCTCCCTCTGTCTGCTCCTCCCGGAGACTCGGTGGACCTGCTGCCTGTCCCTCTCCTGGGTGCTGCGATGCTGACTCTTTCCTCTCAAAACCCATCACCCACCTCCTGCTCCCCAAGTCACCACGGGGAGAAACAAACGGGGGCCATGACTGAGGTCCTTGTGCCGACACTTACATTCTGATCCCCCCTCACCTGTGGGCAGGAGCTGGGACAGACCACACCAGGCCCCGCAGACCGTACCCCTGAGGACTTGGCTGCGCTTACCAGGTTCCCTGGAGCCACGGGGCCTGGGCTCCTGTCCAGGGCTCTGCCCAGGGAAGGAACAGAGGCCTTAGGGTACAGGGGTGACTTTGGACGTCGCCTGTTGCCTCTTTTGCTCCGTGGAGGGAAGCAGGGCCCTGGCAAGACAGGGACTGAGCAGGAAGCGTCTGGTCCTCAGGGAGGCAGGACAGAGCCCTGACCCCGAGGGGGGCACATCGCGGGGCCCAGGAGGGAGGCGGGGCCTGTGCGGAGGTGTGAGCAGGACCAGCCTGGAGCAGGGCCTGGCTCCTCCTGCTGCACCAGGGCCTCTGCTTGTGGGGCCAGGACAGGCTCCCCCTCTGCCCAGGCCTTTGAGCGACAGGGCGGGACCCCAGCTCTGAGGAGGGACAGGGAGCAGGAGGAGCAGGAGGGGATGGATCAGGGCTGACCCCACAGTGACCTCTGTCAGCCCAGCGGCTGGAGTCACAGGGTCCCAGGGCCACCCCCATCCCCTCTTGTGAAGGGCTGTTGTCTAAAGGGCTGCGGTGACTTTGTCCCAAATGTGGCTCCACGGGTCGCTCTGCAGGATGGGTCCCCACCCCTCACCCTGCAGGGAGGGGCCAGGAGGACGGTCCGGGTTAAATGGGAACCCCAGTGTGGACCACACTCACCCAGGGCCTCCCAGGGCCTGGCTGCCCGTAACGTGGGAGAGTCAGCAGTGGCCTCGACGGACAGACAGAGGGACGCCTGTGCGAGTGAGGACGGCGAGGGAAGGAGCAGAGGCAGATGTCCCTGCTGTGCTGAGATGGGCACCAGCCTGTGAGCCCGCCGCCTGCACACGTCCCAGGTCACAGGGCGACACGGGGCCCCGGAGAGGCCATGGGGACCCTCTGCTGTGGCCACGGGGTGACAGGGTCAGGGTCTCAGGGGCCTCACGTCAGCCCTGGTGGGAAAGGGACGGATGATCCGTGTGGAGAACTGTCCCTTTCTTTGTCTGTGTCTTACCTGTGGCTTTGGCTTCAGAGGGGCCCGGTGACTCTGAGCCCAGAAAGGCAAGATTGCATCTAAAGTTCCAGTGCGGCATCCTTTACACTCAATAAAGCTGTTTCACAAAAGAAAAAAGCCCAACCAGCGTGGCACCATGGCTGAGGGTCAATCTAAGAACCAGGAGGTCAGGGTTCAAATACCATTAAGGGGACGTGACTGGATTGCAGGCTTGATCCCCGGTACGAGGCGTGCAGGAGGCAGCTGATCTATGATTCTCTCTCACCATTGATGTTTCTTTCTTTCTCACACTGTTTTCTTCTCTGAAATAAAAAAATATTAAACAAAAAAACAAAATAAATAAATGCTTGAGTGGCAGGGGGGCTTGGGGGA